AGTATCAGAACTGTCCCTCACCGATTTTGTTGAAATTTGGTACAGCGATAGTATGGCCAAAAATAAGGTTTACGTATTTTTTTATACGTGCTAATAAAGCCCCTGGGGCGAGTTATAAGGGTTGGAAATCGGGACGAAATATATTCGCTTATAGGCTGAAAACGAAAATAGCTATCGAAATGTGGTAAATGTAAACTGATATTCATTTTCAAAGAGCTTTCCATTAATATAGCACACATATATCTGAGGGCTTCAGGGGGTAAACTACCCCTAGTTAGAATATCATGGAAAAAATGTTTTAAACACAACGATTGTTTACACCATGCACAAGTTATAACAGCTATATCTCCACAGATATCGCACGTAGGTTTTTCCTTGGAAAAGCAAACCTCCACGGGATTTTCAAACTGTTCTGGTCTCTCCTCTATATATCTAGATGCAAACCGTGCATTAAGGATTATAATTTTAAAATATTATCTCGCTGATACAAATTGACATCGTACTGGTAGAGAATAACTTCATCAGAAAATCTTCTACTGAAAATTTTTCCATATTCTAAAACCAAATACATCCAGGGGTTGAATTTGACCTGTTGTCCCTGCAGGTATAGACAAATATTTAAACTTAACATCCGATGGAGTTACTTCATTAATAATTTCAGGGCAGTGGCCACTCCAAGAATCCAGTAATAGTAATGATTTGGGTCTGGTGTTTGGGAAATAGACATTTTGTAGCCAATTTTTCATATGAGCAGAAGTCAGTTTACCAGACTTTGATGCCAAAACGAATATGTTATCTGCTTTGAACATCGTTGTTGATTATCAACAATACATTAAATAAAAATAAATTAAAAAAATACTAAACTAACAATGTAGAATAGAATTTGTGATAGTCAACCATTCTTTTGTCACTTTTTGTTTAGTAGTTTAGAAGGGTAGGTTGAAAGTACAAATAGGGTCAAAACGTGCCCTATTATGAGTTAAACATATTCCCCAAATTTCATTTACTTAGCGTTTATGGTTTTTGAGAAAAAAATATTAAACCAAAATTTTCCACCATTTTTGGAGGGGTGTAGCTCCTTAGGGGAGCCGAAGTCGCTCATAGTTCATATATCAAAGTACCCTTAAAATTCACTAAAGAATCACCCCGTGAAGTTTGTTGCAGTCATTCAGATACACCCCTTTATATTATATTTTTTTCCATATAACATAGCGAATTTCACCTATTTCTATTAGGGGTTGACAACCCTTCATGTGTAGCACTCTAATTTTAACGAAAATCAACTTAGGGATGTCGAAGCTATATCCACACCAAATTTCAACTCAGCAACTCACGGCTAAGGGGTGGATTT